GAAGAAATCTGGACGCTCGATTGGCCGTGTCCATTATCAGTCCTGTGCAACCTGACCTGATCTGAACATGGGTGATTGGCTGAGAATATCGTTTGCAAAGTTGACAGACTCCACGTCAACCAGAAATCTCAGGCGTCGCCGCGGACCGTTGGCCGTTAGCCAAGTACAGACAAGAGGTTTGAATTAATGGGGATCTAGAAAACTGAAAATGTGTCCGACATGCAGAACCGCAACCAGAAGATAACCCTCTTGGTACATTTTTCGCTTTCCTCCAGTTTCTTATCCAGTAATTACTGTCGATACAAATCCTGGGATTGAGGAAATTTGGCATCAGCCTCACTGCATTTCACGAGAAAACATTGAACGATACGTATAAACTCTGCTTAAAAACCTGTACTTAACGACTGCATCCAGTGCCCAGTCCAAATGCATCACCACACTGAACGTAGGCTGGATTGAGTGAATCATATCAATCTTCAAGAGAAAAAGGGAAAAAATGAAGTATCATTTCTAATGTATGAAAGTTATCAGTGACTCTTCTTATTGGCGATTCTCGATGTTGTTTTACTGTGTTAGAGTTAGCGCTATATCTACATCCCTTGGCCACGGTGTGCGCCATGTTGATTTTACTTCCGCAAACGTGCGCCATCTTGGACTTCGGTTCATAATTTCAATTTTTCCATGTTTGGCGCATTGAAAACCAAAATTAATTCAGGACTTCATTTGTACGGCTTCGGATTAGTTACATAGAGTGTGTAATTTTCTTTTTCTGAGTGCAAATTAGGCTTTTTCATCGGGTTATGAAGGCGGTGATTCATTCCCCGTTTCCTAACTTTTCAGCTATGAGCAAAGTCTCTTTCCGGGCACGTCAGATAGATTTTAACAAGCCGTTACCTATTCTGAAGAATGGATCTGATTTGCTCACGGAGTTCAGTGAAAATGCCCTTGTCAACCGCGGGGTTCCCCAGATTCCGAGTGGAATGGAGAAGGAGGAGGAAAATGTAAATACCATTGAAATTCTTTGCTTTTGCGATCTTTGTTGATGGACGAACTTCAATTTAGTCTTTTATTTCGTTCGTTTGTGTCTCATAGGCATTGTCGCTCTTTTGTCTTACTAGGAGCACCATTTCGTTGAAGTCATCCATGCGCTGTCACAGAGAACCGAGGCAACGGTTAAGATACCGGTTCCCGATATCATTGATAAGTCTACCTCGTACAAGAAAATGTACTCCAGCGAGTACACACTCCCTAAGCAGCTGGTGCATATCAGAAGTATGCTTATGCATTCCTATGATTCATTTCCTTAGCCGTAGTTTTGGCAGAAGATGAACCTACGGAATATGATATGGATACGGAGGATGAAGATTGGTTAAGTAAAAGCGATCTAGGCATTTCACCTGAAAAGTTTGAGTCCATGATTGACCGCCTGGAAAGAGGCTGCGGTCAAAAGGTAATGGATAATCCCGAGTAAATAATATTTTCAGGTTATGAATTTAGAGGAGGCGAAATATTTGTTGCAGGATGACCCCTCACTCGTGATTGCTGTATACGATTACTGGCTTAATAAACGCGTCCAAAGCAGACAACCTCTGTTGTTTGCTATTCGTCAGGAAAGACGCGATGGTGGGAGCAATGCTGACCCCTACGTTGCTTTCCGTCGAAGAAGTGAAAAAATGCAGACACGCAAAAATCGCAAGAACGATGAACAGTCGTATGAAAAGATGCTTATCCTCAGGGATCAAATGGATGCATTGGGGTAAGTCTAACGTTTTCTTCATTTAACTGTTTTTAGCGAGATCTTATCACATGTTGTAAAGCGTGAAGTGGTTAAAGAAGCGCTTGTTCAGTGCGACTTTCGCTGTTTTCAAGCACGATACAAACTTCGCGACTGGGATGGCGCTCATCTTAATGAAGCCGAAAACGTCAGCCGCAAGGCACAGGCACCTGTAGATGCACCACCAGCGCGTACTGCCAAAGTATGTCCACGATTTGTTATTCCGCTTATTTTCCATTTGCAGAGTCAGATAAGAAAACGGCCCAGCAGGAAGAGAAAGTTGACGCAACGCGCATTAAACCTCTCAGTTCGCACTCAAAGCTCCGAGGACGTGTCCGATGGAGAGCTTGGCGAATCCAATACCGACGGGCCGTTCGCCTTCATACGAACACCGGGTTGTCGGTATTTGAAACCAAGGTATTTTAATTGTCTGCGCGTCAGCATTCCCCATCCAACTTCCAGTGTTCGCTTATTGTTGGACGCCTACCCTGCTTACGGACGGTTTATCTGCGTGCTAGTTACGAGCATAAGCAGTAGGCCGTCAGACATTTGGTTCCAACATAAGTCTACTGATCTTTCGTTTTGGGTGACAGCAGTTGTGCATACGCCAATCAGTAACTTATTCTTGATAACATTTCTATTGTATAGCTCTCAGGCGGGCTTCACAACGTCCAGCCAACTTTGTACTCAGCCGTTCACAAATACATATATTTTCTGCAATAACCAAACGAAGTCTCGTGCGTTTCACTTAGCGGAGTCGTCGGCTTTAGTAGCTAGTGGGGTTTTGACACTTGCAATGGCCTCCACCCATTCCTCCCGGAGACTTTTTGTTCGCAACGTGTTTGATCCGTATAAACTTTGAATCCGTGTAGTGGAACCTAGGCGTTGGCCAATTGGGACCCAGTTGTTTAGAGTATTCAGTAACTGGGTTGTAGCACACTATCCCAGTCTTCGCCCATTGCTTTTCGTGGAGGTCAGGTTGCACGGGATGTCTGTTTCGGGGTTGTCCTTATGAAGCAAAAGTTTTCCGAACCCACCACCTATGACCAGTTTGTTAAAGTTGCTCTTCTTAGTTGCGCGTGCTGCATGTGGTTGAAGATTTCGGTGGACGGTGTTGGTCGCAAACAGCTCATGGGAAAACAAGTCGTAGTCTCTGGACTTGAATGTTTTGAGTTTCGCCGCATGTTATGTTGCATCCAATTGGCTTTTTATGAAGTGGTTAAGGGTATATCGTTTCGGAGTCATCTAAAAAGCGGCTCAATAGCCAGGTGTCGAATTAATCTCCGGTGGCATGATTGCCGTCGAGATTGTCGTTGTGTTCAGTTAAATGCACGTGCACGCAAAGCTTGCCGAAAAGATTCCTTGTGTTGTTTGCGCTCCATCGGCGGTTTTATCTTGGGACTGAGCATCGGGTTCTTGGTATTAGTCACGCGTTTTGGCCTGGTGCAGTCGTATGAATAATTAGTTCTTGATGGTACTCGGTCATCTTGCACTGTTTACTAGTGCATCAAATTTGGCAGGAGTAACTTATAAGTTTTCGTTACGGTGTTGAATTGGCTTCCATATTAACTAACATTTTGGTTCGTTATGCTATCCGCCCAATTTAGTGAATCTCCAGTGTTATTGCCCGCAGTTGAGATCATTTCAATGGGTTCGTTTCCAATCACATGGGCGTCGATAAGTGGTCAAGGTACCGAGTTGATGCTGCATGACTTGTTTGGCACCAGTGAATCGGAGTTATTGTATCCAGTCGACTAGCAATTTTTTGGTGGTCATGCAAAATGTCTAGTGGGACGTGTTTCGAAGGACCTTTTCATTCTTGCAGTCGCCCCGTGCTGCTACTTTGAGCAACATTGCTGCGTTAGCTGGGCTTATCGGCTGATCTGTTTACCCTGTTACCCAATGAATTGAAACTTCGTTGTAGGGTTTCAGCGATTCAGTCACTTTCCCATAGATGACCGAGTCTAGAAGCTGGAGTTGTGTAAGTCGTTTCGACTTCCTTGACACCCGGGTCTGTTCACGTTTTTCCGCCTGGCATATTGCTTCTGCTGGGTACTCGAAGCGGGTGGTCGCTGTCAGTTCTTTGTCTCCACCAGTAATAGATTGTGGTCGTGTATGAAGCCATGGTTTGTCCTGAGTAGCCCGTTCTGTCATCGGTAACATGACAAACGTGTTGGGCCCAGGAAGGATCACCTGGTTCTTGTTTTCCGTGTCATCCTATTACATTTTGTATTTGCGTTCTCTTTGCTCTCTCACTTTCGGTTTGGATCAGGTGTCTCCGTTAGTTCACCATTTAGGTTTGCGTTTGAAGGATTATTAGCGGAAAAACTCGAGCTAATAAGCATATGTTCGACGCCTCTGTGTGGTTAACCATACTCACTATTCCCTAACCTTCTCATTACTTGTTTTATGTGGCTAAACCTTTGTTAGCCAAGGGATTTATCTTTGTTTCACACGGTGCGAGATCTCGTCCTAACCGTGCAACGACAGTCTCAGTGTAGGGATTGGTTTACAATGCGATTTCTGTTGGCTTATAATCCGACAATTTTCTCCACTGAGCTCGTCGAGTCACATCAGAATTACGCTCAGTGGACAATAAAATTGTGCATTACTCATGCAGTTATTTTTAGTTTACGACATCACACAGTTAGGTTAGATTCGCTGTTCCAGGTAATGCGTCTGCCAATGCCTAGCAAATTATCCATTATGATCAGGTACCGGGGTGTGACTTGTGCAAATGTCCAGCACATAGAGTTCATTGGGGAGCAGCACAATGATTGGTGTGGTAATTACAGTTTTAACCATTATGGTTATTTGGCTAAAAAACCTGATATTCCGTGGCACAATGTTGACCATAGAAATTTGCTTTTCCTGCTTAGTGAATGGTGCATGGGAGATCGATAACAAGCAGCATCTTTTTGCCGTCGGATTACCACTTGGTCCACATGCCATACAAGTGGGGCGCACAACTGAGGCCTTTCGAAGTTCGTCCGATAAGCTGTGGGAGAGGGAAGGAACGCTTTTTTCATACTGTCATTAGTTAGTCTACATTAGATCTGGTTTCCATTAAAACATCTGCATTATGCAGATATTCACTTGAGAGTTTACCAGTGTATTGTGTGTTGTCCACGCTTTGAGGGAGCATTGATTTACGAGCGAAGTTTAACTCGTGGATCAACTTGATCTTTTTTCAGGGACCCCGCTGTTCACCGGGATCCAAGTCCAAGCCAAATCCCCAGAGCGCGTTACAGCCTTGTGACTGTGCCGTCAGTGTGTCACTCAGATCAGCGTGTCTACACGGGTTACATTCGGCGGCGGCTCGGACGTGGAGGTCGGGTCATTTACGACCGTTTGCGACCACCGCCTCATCTAGTTGAATTTTTGCGACTTTATGATCAACAACAGCAATGCTTTTTGTCCGAACAACCAATTCCCGGATGTAAATCGTCTCAGTCTGCCCCACGACCCCAGTGCCGTGATGAAGCCCTCCTTCATCGCCTTAAACCGGTGGTTTTAGGCTCATACCGCAGTTGTCCATCATACAACTGGCCCATTTGTACAGACCTTTCTACTACTCCTTCCTTCGAACCTCTCCATCCTGGTCCTGGTCATTTCAGTACCATATCTGCTCCTTTTAGTCGGTCCTCTGTACTCACTATTCCTGATCGGACTTCAAACAGCTCGGTATTGGAACGACCGGCTTACGTACAAAAAACTAACAGTTCTTCCGGCGCGTTTGATGGTCCTACCCAGTGTTCCAATGTTGCCGCGGTAGACGCGGATAGCCTAACCAAGGAAATCAATGGTTTTCAGTGTTCCAAAAGAGTCTCTCCTGTACATCAATCGGTGAGTCTATCTTCCTATTTTTTGATGTTATTCAAGCCCACTTTTGCTTAGAAGCACAATAATCCCGATTTAGAAGTAGATTGTAGGTTCTGCATCATGATTATAATCAAAAGGCAAACAGGTGCTGATTGGCAGATTTAAAACTCATCGAAGGCAACGCGAATTCGTTGAAAACCTTCGATAACAGTAACACACCGCGGGCCCGATAATGTAAATACAAATATACGGGTAAACCATGGTTAACACTGATCTTCAACTTAAGGTATACTTGTTCATCCGAGACGCAGCTGTTTATGAACGGCGCGGTTTTTCTCAGATCTTAAAGAGCCGTAATTGTAAGCTGAACACAAGTAAGATCAAGATAGTGGAAAGTAGAGTTGACGAGAAGATGGACAATTTCAGTGACCTAAGGTTGCAAAGAAATTGAGAAGATACACGAACGTCGGCCATGTCACTCAGTGTCTCTAACCACCGATAACGATCATCCCGAAGTCCCCATCCAGGGAGCCTAATGGGACCTATGTGACCGAGTCTTCTGGTTAAGGTTTCCATACCCTCATACCAGATCTTGGTTTGATCACCCTCATTTTTTTCCATCCGCTGCCCC